GTATTCAGCATAACATTGGGTCTCCAGCGCTGATTTGTCCTTTTATAAAGGAAGACTTCTCCATCTGCTTCCGGTTATCGAATGACCAATCGCCGCTAACCGGAAGCCATTTCTCTTTGATCACCGGATTTCGGAAAATCAGCTCAAAATATCTGGAGTGTTATGTTAGCTAATCTCTGCTCGTTTCGGGAAAGTAGTGCTTGCGATCGAATATTCAGTGGAAGTTTTAACCTCATTACAATATTCCGGCACGTTACACTCACTTAATCTCTCAGCAGTAGTCAGTATGTGATATGTGGTGTGGCTTCCACTCAAATTTCTGACCATTTTCATTGGTCGATTAGCGACAAACATACTGTGAAACTGCGAAATTCCTTTTCTTCAGGAGAGCAACGAGAAGGTGTCAGAGGCGCTGTTGTACCACCGCCATGAAATTCGGAGTCTAAAGCGTAATAACGGTATTTCGCGTTCCAAGATTAAGAAGTATAAGCAGAGACTAGCGAACTCAGCAAAAATGACTGAAGAAGCAAAGACCTCCATTCAACCGTTGGTTCAAAAGTGTAAGGGTGATTGCAGACCTGTTGTTTGTTCAAGGTTGTAAAAACATGTATAAATCTTATCTTTAGCTGCTGCGTTGTGTACTGAACGGGAAAACTTCGAGTTGGTTTGTGAAGTGAAAGACACAAGGATTGAACTGCTTACGAAGGAGTTGGACGCACTGAATAAAGAAATAAGCCGCCTTGAAGAAGAGCAAGTAAATGAGCAGTTGGTAATGGAGGGACGTTATTTTTTTGCTCGCTGCGGCAGCTTCTCGGACGACGAAGCGCCAGTTATCAAAGGCGAGGTATGTTATTTTGAAAATACGCTAGTTGTCGTAATGATATACGTAAATTTACTGAATTAATGTCGTAATGATATATATATAAAAATTTGCGTAAATTGACTGACAAGGAAGCAGCATTAAATGACGCCATAAATCTACAAGTCATAAAAAATTCAGTAAATTGGATACCCAGATCTTCACCTTTAAATTTGCGCGAGAGATGTTAGTTTCTTTCCATTCTTAGACATCTCATGAAGCGTCCAGTTTTCCCGTAAATTTCACCATGATTCGCAAGCGGCATTGAGTGCAAGAATTTTCACTAATTTTTTTTGAGAAACTGTTACAAACGTGGCTATCAGTCTTTCCGTTCAGGTTTGTAATCAGTACTTTTCGACTCATTGCCTCGAAAGGCATAAGGAGTTATAGTTATCGCTGCTGGTGCTTGTTATCCATCTGATGTTGGTCTTTGACTGTTCCACACTACAAGGAATCTGTGGTTGCATTCTGGAGAACCCCAAATGGGTTACACGGTGCTAGGGCACCACTCCTGCCTTAAGAAGCTTAGAGTGCCTTTTGAGCGCTCGCGAATCTATGGTACTTTAGCAGCTACTGTGCATATACAGTAGCGATATTTTGATTTACTATAACAGTGTCCTGCTCGTTACTAATGATATTTCAGGATCTAACGATCATCACTTCACTATCCGTGACCTCTTTACAGTTTGAGTCGCGGATACAGAGGCGTCAGACAGTGCTTCCAATCTTTCCGATCCTTTGCCAGAAGACAACCGGAGTTTAGAGCAGACTCCTTCCATGCACTTGCACCAAGTTTACCTGGGCCTTCTGCCGGTCGGCCCGGCAAGAAGCAGTTGCTTCGCCTTTCCTTTTGGAGGCATTCGCCACACGTTCCCAAATCATCGCAGCTGTGACTTCTCAATCTGAAAATGCGGCGGCTGTACACCAGGGCTCGCGAATTTCTGTATTCCGGATCGTATCGAGACGCGACTCGTCTCAGAAAGTCCATTTCAGCCGCATGTACCAGGGATCGAAGTTTTTCGGTCATGGTCCACGACTTATGACCGTCGGCCAGCTTGCAGATGAAGATTAACTTAAACATCGAAAGTTTATCCATCAGAATCAGCTCTGCTTTCGTCACAACGGTTTGGGCTAGCTCGCGCAGAACGCCACTGGCTATTCTAATCGCCGGTCGATCTCTTCCTCACATTTTTCATCACCAGTCAACAAGACCCTGAGGTAATTAAGTTTCTCCACCTGCTACACTACTTCTTCGTTTATCTGAAGAGAGCTACGGGCAGGAGAACGAAAACGCACTTGGCTTTTCGATTAGACACGTTCACACGTATGACAACCACGTCGCACTCGGCTGTAAACCTTTCCATAGAACGCTGGAGATCAGTTTCAACAAACAAGGTTGTCTGCAAACAGCAGCCTTCTCCTCTTGACATCTCCCACGCTGATTCACTCATCACCCTGGGAGCGCTTGACTATTCTACCCATGTGCAACAGACAGGAGACGGATCAGAATGCAGCCTTGACAGAGACCAATGCCAACGCTGAAGGATTTCGACTTAGTGCTATTTACTCTGACGCCTGCTATCAGCATATAATGACTGGATAGCTCATAGCAACTGGCCATCGATCCCATATGTTCGCAGACTTTCCCATAAACTGTTGCGCGGGATCTGGTCCTAGGCTTTCTCTAGGTCAACAAACATACATCGGATTGTTAACTCCCATGATTTCTCAACAATCTGGCGTAGGGAGAATATCTGGTCAGAGGTGCTTCAACCAGACCTGAACCCGCACTGCTGTTGTGTTTTGGAGTCAGTTATTCGGCGGCACCTCCTTTCTAGCACCTCTGAGTAGACTTTACGCGGGAGCCTCAATAGCGTAATGCCGCAAAAATTAGAGCACTCCCCATACCCTCCCTTCTTGAATAGGGGTACTGTAACCCCGTTCTCCAGTGTGGTGGTGTCTTCCCCATAGCCATTGTAGTTTAACAGACACATGTAAGCACATATGTACTATGTTCACCTAGGCTTTAACCTTTTCGGGATGAATTTCATCGTTTTCACTAGCCTTTACACCTTGCAAGGTTTTTTGCAGTTTTTGTGATTTCATCTACAGAGAAGTGTAATATCTGTTCCCTACTGCTGTTCAGGCGAGACCTTTTGCGGTTGTTCGGTGTTAAAGAGTTCCTGGAAATACGCTCTCCATCGCTGAGGAATGTGCTCATCCATAGTAAGAGGGTGTGTACTCTTGTACTTAAGAATACTTAGACTTCACCTCTTTTAACATGAGAAAGGGCAGAATATTGTTTTTGCCGTCTGAAAATTTGACTTTAACTCCTCACCGAACTTTTCCCAAGAATCAATTTTGGCCTTCACCTCTGCTTTCGCTGGCGCTTACGCATTTCTACATACCGCATGTGAGTTCTACTTTCTTTGCATTCTAACTATTTCTTGAATGCAGCCTTCTCGGTGACAGCCAGTTGTACCCCACCAGGAAGTTTTTCTCTCACCACCAGGTAGCAAGCCAGCCCATTGGAATCCACAGCATTTGGCGGCAGCCCCGAATAAACCGCTCTTCAAGACCTCCCACTCGGTTTTCAAATCATCGGTCATCACCAGGGTGTGTTCAAACCGTCAGTAGTGTTGTTTCTAAGTTTTGCCCTCGAATCCGCGGAAGAAAATGTTTCTCATTTAATTTTCTGGTTGCTTTTGCCGCCAGATCGTTGCGTGATACTCTATTTCTCACAGCATAGCGTGCCAACAACAAGGTGATGACCGGTTGATAGCTCTGCATCTATCATAACGCGAATATCCATTACCGAGCGTCTTAAGTCAGAAGATACGATTGTCAAATCAATCATCGACTTCTGTGCGCAAGCTTCCCGGTACCAGGTGTACTGATGCGCGTTTCGATGATCGTATAAGGTGTTCATAATAGACGGCCCGTTCTTTGCACAAAACCGGGAC